CCCCACCCCCAGTCCATTGTTGCTACCAATATATTGATATGTCCTGGATATATTAGCTGTATCCATAATTGAATTTAGCAGTATTTCCAGTAGTTAAATGCTAATGATGAAGTTCATTGATTGTTCTTCTGGTTTTGGTTCTTCCGAAAAAAATTTATGAGGCTGACAGAGACAAGCCTAGTTCTGTTAATCATGGGGAATTAGGTGGAATTAGGTGAATGGTAGCCAGAGAGGCTCTGATAGCTCAGTTCTGATAACTAGTCTTGTTGTCATGGTAGTGTTGTAATATGTTCTTGTAAGTGCTGTACAAATATATATTGTCCATTTAGCAAAAGATAGTCCCAATCTAGTCACCATTAATTTATTGCAAGTATTCAGGGGACTAGGGGCCAAACATGCCAGAAGAAAATAAAGTGGTCCCTAAGTGTTAGTTAAAAAATAGGTAAGGTACAGGAATAAGCTCCCAGGTTTTCACTGAGTCTTGAAGGGTTCTACACTAAGACCTGTGTTATTGCAGCATTCATGATTTGTCTAGAAAGGAGGTGAATGATGAAATTTGACTTTGGTGGAAAAGACGATGGCTAACAGAAGAGCTACAGAAGGACAAAGTGTATAAGGGTGAAGTGTACAGGTGATAAAATGGCAGGTGAAATTCAGTACGGTTTAATGGAGGGTAATGCATGGCAAAAGCATCTTTGACTTGTGCAGTGATGGGCTCTGAGCTGACCCTGATCACTGAGGAATTCAATTTTGAGACTATAATAGATAATTCTACAAAACCATCAGCCCAGAGTGTAGTGTCATGGGCAAGAAAACAGATCGATTGCTTCAATTTGAATTGTATCATTCTGCACACTTTTAAAATGTGGCATCATTCTGCAGCTCCAAATCCATAGTGCAAGTAACATCTTGAAAACTGTGTTCAGGTCTGGTTGTGCTTTGGTTTTTGTTTTGTTTTGTATTGGTTTTATTTTTAATGCAAAGCTTTAGGAAACACATAAGAAATTACAGTTACCATACAACTATTGATAATGCCCATTTGATGTGAGAGGGCTTACGTTTTGGGGCTTTTTTTTGGTTGGTTGGTTTAATTTTTAAATACTGTGGCACCCTGAGGGAAATATAGGGTACCTTTCATGTTTCAGCTTGTCCCAGATATTGTATCTTCTCATAAGATTTTAAGTAAATACAAACTTTTATTATCATAAACTCTCCATGTCAGAAACTTAGAATTTAATACTCTTGTCCTGTGCTCCTGCAAAATAAAATATGGAGAAAGATTGTGCAATACTTACTGAAGTCTTCCTTTGCAACTTTCCTTAAGGAAGAAGAGTCAGACAATGAAGAAAACTTTATTGACCTGAATGTTCTAAAGGCACAAACATACAGATCGGTAAGTTGTTACCGATCAGTCCTCTCCTGAGAGATTTTTACATCTGTAGCAGCAATTTATTTCTGTTGGATTTAAGTGTGAAAGTCCTTATATAGTCTAAACTTGAAAAAAACATTCCAAATAAAATGAATCAGCTTATTTTAAAAGAAAAATGTACATCCAGTTTCTAAACTGTTATCACTGCAAGGTTTCTGGAAACATTTGCAAGAAATTTTTGCAGAGACTTTTAGGGAAACATGGTATTAGTTTCTTGAATGTATTTTAATTTTGCCCCCCTTGCTATTTCTGGAATGTGTTATAATTTCTTACTAGATACATTTTATTCTTTTCAATTCTAAATATGATGAGAAGATATATTTATTTTAATTCCTAGTCTTTATGAATTCAAAGAAAGCCATTAAACAAATCTGTTATATCTGTAGTCTAGATCATTCTGGATATAAATTTTTTTCCGACTATGAACACTGTAAGACATTGTGACATGATTTCTAACAGTTCTTGTTGTGCATAATGACCATATTTTGTATATAGACTTTATGATTTTTACACAGGACATAAATGACTCTGCAAAGCAAGAAGAGATTTTACAGTCCACGACAGATGCAGCAGAGTGGAATCTGGAAGTGGAACGTGTGCTTCCACAGCTGAAAGTTACGGTCAGGACTGACAATAAGGTATGCGAGAATGCATTGTATACATGGTGATTAAAGTGTGATTTCAGTCAGTGTTATTTACTTTCCCTTTACAATGCTATCTTGTCTGAATCTTTCTCACTTACTTTGACCCTAGAAGCAATAGTTTTCAGTAGGTTTTTTTTTCCAATATTATATAAGAATAATTTTTTCTGCTACTTACAGGGCACCTTATTTCCATATATTTATTTCCATATAATTATTCAGTTAATATTCTTAAATCGTTAAACATTTCCAATGTATTCATACTTCCGAAAAATTATACCCTCAGTTTAGCAGCTATTAAAACATCTTCCTGGAAGAGAGCTAAGCAACTTCTTATCTTTCAACTGTTCAATTTGTCAACCACATGAAAGTTTGACTGCATGGAATTCATCTTGCTGAACTTTAAATGGCAATAAAGTAGGTCTGTACCTCTGATCTAGTCATCATGGGCTCTCCTTGCGTTTAGCAAAAAGAAGTGAGTACTTTTTCGACTGATTTTACTTATAGATAACTACCAGATAACCACCTCAAGATGAAATTCATCATTTCTTAGAAATCAGTATTTCTCTCCATAATCTATTCCAAGGAGTCTAGAATGAGCAGCTTAGAAGCAGACATCTATCTTTGGCAAGTCAAAGTTCAAACCGAGGACCTATTCCCATCATTGCCATAAACATTCTTTCTAGGAGCTCGTATAGCATATCACAGATCAGTGCAGTATTGAAATTGCTTGTTTGTTGTGACCCAGCTAGTTGGAGTGTTGGAGCAATCTGTAGCAGTGATACAGAATTCAATGAAAGGTAATTATCTTGCCCAAAATAGGCTAAGCTCTCAACTATCTGTTAAATTGCTTGCCTGTCTTATGCTATACTGCATTTTTCTATGTGAAGAATTGCCTGGTTTGAGCCACCTTTCTCTGATCCTTGGCAAGCCCATCTGTTACAGAGAACATCATGCTTGATTCTCACACTAAGAAATTAAAACTTAATAGAGTTTTAATTAGATACTAGATTTAATAGAGAATACATGGAAAATTAAAGCCACTGTAAGAACTGAGGTTTACTAGCTTCCAGTTTAATGCACCATCTCTTGGCTTTAAGGAATATGTCAAAATGAACACAAAAAGAGGATTCTTCTTTTTCTAACTTCTGTGCTATCATGCTTTAAGAAATAACTGGAGAGAAGTGTTTGGTGTTTTTTTATTCTACAAGAAAAGCATCGTATTCTGTTTCCTATGCAATGCATATATACATAGTACCAGGAGAGGGTTAATGGTTAACCAATGGCATTAGAAACTAGAACTTATTTGTAAAGTCCTGGGAGGTGGTGCGGGGGGGGTGTCTGTTGTTTTTATTTAAACTCCGAAGTTTGACAAATTGTGAACAATTGTCACCAGACCAACAAAAGATCTTGAGTCTGCTGCAAACTTAAAACCCAACATACAACATAAGCACATTTTCTCTACTAGCCTTTGTTTCATTCTGGAAGAGAATAGTGGGCAGCAGGACGATTGTAGACAGCAGGTGAACCTCATGGGCTGCACAGGTGTTGGAGGTGCTTGGCTGTGCTTTTCTGAGGTAGTGAGACAGAGGCACCAGTGCTTCAGTAGTTATGTGCGTGTCCTATGCAGGGGGATAGCCTCACTTCTAATCAGTGGAACTGCCTATGATTGAAGGATGACACATGTTTAAGTGTGCAGCTGTTTTAAGCCAGGATTTGTTTTGTACCTGTTATGAGACATTATAAGTGGCTCCAGGATTGGGAATTCCTCTTGCTCAGGTGCTGCAGCCCAGCCCCATCTGCCTGGGGACCTGTGGGTCCCCATCCCAGACTGACGGATGCAGCTGCTGCTTCTTTCTTGTTTGCAGGTTCAGAAGCATGTATCACACAGACACACAGAGGACCCTGACAGCTACACAAACTGCCATAAACAAGGCCCTGTCTTCAATAGCACTTGTAGGACTCCCGTAAAATATAAGTAGACAGCCAGGCCCCCTTCCTCCTCTTCAGATAATTAAGATTGAAGTTCAGTAGCGAAAGCACACACTGCCTTCTCTCTAGATTCACAAGCACATGCACATTCCTGGATCCCTCAACTATCGGCATGGTCCTTCCGTCTGTCTGATCCCCCTGCCTGGATGCTGGGCCCTCTTAACTGTTCCGCTGCTCTTCTACTTGCTGGCAAGTCCAGCTTCACGCTTGCCAGCAAACAGATGCACACATTCATGCACTTGTCTTAAGGGCACTCTACATTTGTGGGTCCCCCTGAATACCAGCATATACCGTCTGCTTGCCTCATACCCAGGCCCGGATCCAGGGCCTACTACTCGATGGCTAGTTCAGTTTTAAGTCTGCAACTGAATTTTACATGTGCACAGCAGGTTTAGGGAAGATGGAGACATTTGCCTGTACTCACCCCTGCAGCTGGCACCAGCAACGCGGGCTTGTGACCTGCAGTCTTGTCCAGCTGCTGGCACTGAGCCCCTCGCTTGCTTTACTCACACCGGGCCTTCCCAGTAGCTGGATTTTAAGATACACGCCGGTCCTGCCTTGGTGGCTGAGACCCTCACCTGTTCCTGTGTCTGGCACTGAGACCCCCACTCTCTCCAGCTGCAGACACCACAGGCCTGGGACACCTGCAGCCCTGGTCTGATTCCAGTTGCTGGCCCCATATCCCCTCTCACCAGCACTTAGTCCTTGCAGCACTCATACATGCACGGGATAGAGCGTGAGATAGCACAGAAAGATAATTAGAAAAGAATTTAATAAGAAGATGGGACAGACTCCAGTGAGCAGGCACAGGGCTCAGTCAGACAAGTGGACTGACTGGCAACAGTTTACACATGACCAGCCTCTCTTACACCCCTCTCTGTTCCCCACTTGTTTCCTCCCCGGTCCCCTCCCCCTACACGTTGCTTCATCAGTTTGCATAGTTGCACCAACCCTCATCCTGAATATCCAGAACCCCCAGGTTTGCATTCTTATTAGTTGCAAGGGACAGATTCACCTTCTGTGAAGTGATGCTTGCAGTTTCTTGTTAGCCCATCAGTTAGTGTAACTGATGAGCTTTGTTTCTTGTCCTTGTCTCCCTTCATGTTGGTCTGACAGGTCTGTGTCTCTGTAGGTTTTGTTTTTTCCCTCCCCCTTTTCCTTATCATCCCATTTTGGCAAGGTCCTTGATCAGATAATTGTACTGATACAAACATTCTCACACTCCACTTGTTACTTCTTGTTACTGCCTCCATTATTGTTTGCCCGTCAGGTTTGTGCCTCTCTGTTTTGCTTACCATCCTTTTTGACAAGGTCCCTGATGAGAAAATCTTACTGAAGCAAACACTGTCACCTTCCACGTATCCTTACAGTACCTATTTTACAAGGAAGTCTCCTAAGGTTTGATTTCAAGTGATAAAGATTTATTAACATCACTTTTTTTTTAACACCTAGATCTGTACTGTGCCAAAGGCTTAAAAATCTTAAAAATATTTTTTAGCGTGTTCAGAAACTCAATACTGAAATACCAGTAATTCTGCAGTGCTGCTACTCTGCTTCATTTTGAACTCACAGTCTGTCTACAGCGGTGCATTGGGCCTGGGAGATGTAAAAAGTTTGCACTGATAAGGAAAAATTTGTGATAAAGCTTGGGAACTGAAATGCCTACCTATCAAGTTAAAACAGCACCTCTTCTCATCCCCCATCCCTGAGTCCCTGTATGTTTCGTATGACCTAGAAGCCGCAAATAATTTTCCCCCTTCTAATTTTGTCCCACTATCAAAAACAAGTTCAGGTATTTCTGCCTCTTTCATTTCTTTCCATTCTTCTCCTGATAATTGTAAGGACTAAGTAGAAAGGGAGGATCTAATAGTCTGGAACTGGTAGGTGTTGGGCATTTGAAGCACTCATTTTGTCTATGAATAAGCTGAGCTAGTGCAGCTATAATCAATATTTTCAGTATTTGTGCCCAGAGTCGTTTCTAGCAGAAATAATTCCGTGAAGATCAAACAGACTCTAAAAAGCATAGCTACTGTGGTATTAGTGAGGATGTCGGTTTGTTTATGGATCTGAGTGTCACATATGACATTTAGGAGATTTATAAATTGTGTCACATTAAGCGAGTGCCTCTGCATATGAACATGGCAGTGGCAGAATGATACACGATAACAGTATAAAAGAGAACTGACCCTGCCTTACATACCAGCCTTTGTTTAGTAACCAGAGAAAGATAAAAGTTGTACTTACCTATGTTTTACTTTGTGGCATCTTTTTTAGGATTGGAGGATTCATGTAGATCAAATGCATCAGCATAAGGATGGAATTGAATCTTCTTTGAAAGAAACTAGGGTATGTCTTGTATGTGCAGAATATTTCACTGATCTGGCAGCATTTTTATGTTCTCTTTTATTTGATATACCTTAAGAACTAAATTTTTTTTTTTCTTCACTTTATTCGTGCTAATGCTGTACAACTAAAAAGGGAAACACATCATAATGATGATTAGGGACAATGGGATTAAGAGTTGTATATGTGAGGATTAATGGGGCTATTAGGGTTCATTAACATATGCATTACCGTAAGTACATCCTGATTACAGAGGGCAAAATAGAATAATACAGTAATACAATCTCAAAATAAGTGCTGATAAAAAACCCAAAATACTGTCAAATGCTGTTGTGAGTAACTTACTGACATTGACATTTGTAATTAATTGAGGGGGGGGAGAGTGATGGAAGCAGTAAAGCTTGAAATATGTGTTTTGGAGGTGGGCAAACCAGAACACATTAGGAATAATTTTTTGTTGGCTAAACACAGCATTTCTGTACTATTTTTCTCTCTCACTTGTAGGCTTCCATATCCTTTCTTAATTACAGCACCATTTTAATGCTCTTTGCGTACTATCTGTATACTGTCAACCCACAGAATATGATTTTCTAGGGTTACCTTGACAAACTCCATAATGAAATCAGCAGAACATTGGAAAAGATCAATAGCAGGGAAAAGTATATCAACAATCAGTTGGAGCACTTGGTTCAAGAGTACCGTTCAGCACAAGCCTTGCTGAGTGAGGTAATGCACTGATCTTTTGTTGTTGCCTTCTCTAGTATTAACTTGCTATTAAGTGAGGGTGAAGGGAAAGAAGACTCGGAGGAGTTATCTGTGAATTCTGCTGTTGGATATAAAGCAGAGGAAATGTTGATTGGCTGTCAAATTATATAGTTTTTCACTAAACTAGCAATTTTTATTCAACTATTCTACAGGAGAAAATAAATGGGTTTTGCCTGAATATTATGTAAATCTGTTGCCAGTCTTCAGCAGCTAGTAAATTGCTGGTTCTGCTTTCCCTGTGAAGTTTCCACTCATCTGTGATGAGTGGAAAAACCACAGTCTCAGTCCAGCACTCATCTCTTTTATTGATTACTTGTGCTAATGTGCACAAAGCAGTCTGATTACTTCTTTGCTTCGTTTAGTTTTAATGCCAATAGAGTGTTGTTTGAGAAGCTTTTTGATCTCCTAGTTAGGAGGCCTGTATAAGCTGTCATTTGGCTAGCCCTCCTATTTGTGGGTATGACTTTAAAATAAGATTAACAGGATTTGACCTTGGTGCTTCCTGTTTACCTTACTGTTAAACTTAAGAAACTTCAAGATAGTAATTTACTGTTGACGAAGAAGTGTTCTGGGTTTCAGGATTCAATTCTGTCTGCATTCTGGCAAATTTTTTTTATGTTTATTTCCTCATGTAAATGATTAGAAAACATACTTCTTATTGTGTATGTATTAGGGCTATTACAATTTTTAAAACTGCTTTAAATTTTCGAATGATAGTCATTACAGGGGCTGATGTTTCAAGCCTGTCCTCATATGTGTAGTGCTGTAAATGTCATTGGGACTTTGTGGGACAGTTTCTGGAATTGGGACACGTGAGAGCAAGTTTCGGTGTGCTCGCTGAGCTAACTGCATACATCTCTTCAGCTTTGTCATTACAGCAAAAAACATGTTTCTTTCCAGGCTAAAGAGAAGTACCAGGAGGGAAGTGGAGGAGTAACTGAAAGGATTAGAGTGCTTTCTGAGGTAAAACACATCTTCACATAATTTCTTTTGCTTACTTTAAAACAGTTTTTAGGGAGTTTACATTTAGTGTTTGGGGTTTTATGAACCCAGTTCTTTCTGATTTGTTCTCATGTTAAGGATTAATCTGTTTGTTTAGTGGAGGCGATCTAGTCCAGTCCCTACATTTTAAACCCAGGCTGCCATTGATTTTTAACTTGTGAATTTGGGCAAACTATTGTAAGCTCTTGATTTCCCCAGTTTGTAAAAAAGGGTGAATGTTCTGTATTTTATAACCTGTGTCATAGAATTATTGAGGATTAATCAAGCCATGTCCATAAATTCTTTGGAAGAAGAAAAGCTTAACTCTTATTTTTTGTTAAAGTTAACAATTTGAAATTTTCAACTTCCAAGCACTTAAAAGCAGTATTTGACTAAATGGTAATTTTCCATACCAGGCAAATTGTCTCAATACCTAAAACTGTTTTTCTGTTGTTTTTTTTTCTTTAGATCAGTGCTCTGACAAATGTAAAGAAAAATCCCCAGACTGCTAACTGCCTCAACATGTTGAGTGTTTCGTGGCATTTAATTTAAAATTACTGCCTGATTTCCAAATATTTCAACCCTTTGTCCAATTCAGAAATTATTTTTTTAATGGCTCTGTTGTTTGGGTTTGAAAAATCCACTTTGCTTATTAGCCGATAAAGTGTCTGGAATAGTCACATAAAATAGATCACGCCGTAAGAATGTGCTGGAAATTGTAAGATGGTTCACAATAGAAAGAAATAATCCAGTTGAAAGGGACCTACAACGATCATCTAGTCCAACTGCAGTAGGTAATACAGCAGTTTAACAAGCGTTTTCCAGCAAAGATTTCTGAGTGTACGGATTCTGCAAAATTAGAGCTTCTTTCTATTTTACTCTCAGGGAAGTAAGTTTGAAAAAGAGAGTACTTTACGATGACTTCAGATATATAATGTGTTTGTGCTTTGGAAGTTATTGACTGATTAGTAATGATGAATATGTTACTAGCTGGCAGTCTTCAAACTATGTAGATGCAGTGGTGCATATGTGAGATTAACTAGACACATTGGATATTACTACTGATCTGCTTTCAAGCATACAATCAAATCTCAGCCCACTTAGCAATACCAGTACCACTGTAGGTATGCATTAACAATGCAGCGATGTTTCTTCTTTGTTATTTAAAAGGCTTGTTGAAGTCTTAATGAAGGGCCATTTTTATATTATAGACAAAAATACTGAATTATTACCTAGACTGTACCTTAGAATCATATATTTGGTTTTCCTTCGTTGTCTACAAAGGCAAACTGGTCAATAGTCAGTGCTGAAATGCACTTTCATTCTTCATATATGCATTTTACATACCCATACCTGTGCCAGTGCCAGCAGGCTTCACGGCTGCATCATCTTATGCTGCAGTGCTGTTTCTCAAGTTTCCACCATCACCTGCTGAAGTCCTGACACTTCCAGAAGGGCAGCTGGCATGGTCATTTGGTGCATCTTGGTGTGTGGGGATATTGGTTCCTATCTTCCATCCAGCACCATACTGCAACACTTACACTGTTGTTTGTATTGGTTTGGGATGCACAGATTCTTAGTAACACCATGCTGTTTGGCCAATTAGTTACTCTTTTTGTTGTAATTTTTACAACGTTAATTTATTTAAAGTTAAATTAAAATTTTCTTAATGTTTGATAAAAAAATCTTCCTCCGTATACAACAACTAAGTCTGATTAGTTCTTTCTTTTTAAGTAATGCAGTTACTCAGCAGAGAATTTTTTTTTGTTTTCTTTTTTTAACTTGACATTCATCTGGTTTAATTAAGAAAAAAATATCCATTTTAAGATTACAGAAGTATTAGAGAGAGTAAAGCAGGAAACAGAAGAGAAAGGAAGCAGTATGACTGATGGTGGTAAGTACGTTTTTGCCTCAAACCAAACACCCGTTTTCTCAGTGACAGGTACATAATTTGTCCTTTATTAAAGAAAAATAAAACAAGATGAGAATGAGTGACTAGTCTAAAATATCAATATTAAAATTTTAAAAGGTGTCCAAAAGGAGTCTAAACCTCTTTTAAAAGGTTACATAAGTCTGCAGAAGGTAGAGATTCCAGGATTTCCCCTTTGGTAAATTATTTGTAAAAATCTTTTAAAAAAAAAAAAGAGAAAGAGAGGGTGGGGGGGGGGGGGTGTCTCTGCTTTGAATAGTTATCAACTCACTGAAAGAAATTCCCATGTTACAGGTTCAAGCCCTTTTACTCTGAAGTAGTTACTGGCAGTAGCTGTTAGATTCCCTAAGGCTAGCTGGAGTCAGTGAGAAAATTCATTTTGGCATTTTGATGTTTGGACTTTTTTAATATTTAAGACTACCTACCTATTTAAATTAGTTTGTCTCAGACTCGGGATTTGGTGGTTTGAGATTTTTCCTGATAAATGCATTCTGTTGCAAATGTATAAGGAGTACAAATGCAGAAATAAATTGATGCATGTTACAGTAGGACTAAATATGCAAGCTGTATCCATATTTAACTGTAACCATTACAGCTAATTTACTTAAGTAGTTGTAAGTTTTATTGCATGAATAAACTTTGTGCACCCTTGCTGCACTGCGAAGAGCTGCTTGCGTGCCTCGCAGCACCTTTTCTGTATTATGGTATGGCCAAGGGTCAGGATAAATTCTAGAGCCCAGAATTATAAGGAGCAACATGATGCAGCAGCAGCAGGATCCCTAGGGTGGTATTAGTGGGAAGTGAGGGATTAGAAACAAAGTGTGGAGCACAAAACATTTTAATAGCTTTTCACAGGTAAGATGACATTCTGCTGAAGGTGTCTTCAGTTCTCTACCAAACCCCAAGTCAGCTATCAGGATGAGGCTTTCAGCTGAGCAAAACACATCATTGACAAACCTATCTTAATGTTGATGCAAACCTTTATGCAGATCCTAGATGTCAAGAAGACAGCAAAATTGTCATCGCCTATTTTTATCTTTAAAGTGTCTTGCATATTAAAAATGATGTATCAGTACAATCAAGCCTTTAGAGTAGAACGCCCTTTTGTTCATTCAACTCTTCAATTTTAAGGAGTGAATTATAGAAAATAATGCTTTTGTGTTAAGTAGCTGACACAGAGTTGCACTGTTTATCTTTTTTTGAACAGCTCCTCTAGTGAAGATTAAACAGGCTTTAACAAAACTGAAGCAAGAAACCATTCAGATGGACATACAAATTGGTGTAATGGAACACACATTACTCCAGTCAAAGCTGAAAGAGAAATCCAATATGACAAGAGATATGCATGCAACAATGATTCCAGAAGCCACAGTAGGTGCCTATTAAAATTGTTTGGAGCTGACTTGGTTTGCCCAAAATACAGTTTTCTACCATTTGCTTTTTTGATAGTTTAAAGGTTCCTTTTTGTTGGGAGGGGGCATTCCTTTTTCTTTTTTGTTTTTAAGAAGATGCTTGTCATGCACTTTTAAGAAGTAACATGCACACTTTGGACTCAGCATGGAGTCGTGTTTAGTTTTGTGCTGTAAAGATTTACTGCAGATCCCTTGCAGATATACTAATAAATGCTTATTAATGAACATGTCTCTACTTCATTGGAGAATGTTAAGTAGCGTGAAAGTCTATAGAATGATACTGACAGCCTGTAATCTTGCTATTCTACAGTGCGGAAAGAAAATTGCTTGCAAAAGACTTGAAATGAATTTAAAATGTCTATTATTGCCATTTACATTTAGTATAAAGTATTTAATTGCTGATATTGAAATAATACAGCGTTACTCTTTCTAAAAGGCTGGGTCAAAATTGATTTCAGCTGCAAGTAAAAGTAAATTGTTGCTTCCACTTTAAGTTTATGAATTAAGCAAAAACCTAATGTTGCAATAGTTGCAATAATATTGGCATGTTCCTATGGCAGCCCTACACAAATTTGTGAATGGACAACCACTGCATTTGGCACTATCCCTTTTTTTTTTTTTTTTTTTTTGGAGTGATTCTCTAGACAGACTGGTATGGATGTTTTTTGTAATTATTTTTATTTTTACATTGCCTGTAACAGAAGCAATGATAACAAAATCTATACAAGATCAGAGAAGTGAAAAGTATTGTTTGGAAATTACTTTTGGTTTTCCAATCTTTTTTTGTGTGTCATCACTGTTTCAGAGTCGCTTTATATTAGCATTGGGTCAAATGCTGATTTCATTTATAGTATTTAGTAGAGCCCTGTGGACATAATTTGGATTATTCTTGTTTTCAGTTTTTGTGTCAGATCTCTGTTAAGGAAAAATGTTGCCAAATCTAGTTGTGTAATACGGAATGAGAAGAAAAATGTAGGAGGAAGGGGTTGGAAATGTAATGGCAACAAGGAGCTCCCTTTGTCTCAGTAAATGTGTAGGTAGGGAGTGATTCTAGACGTTATAGGTAATGAAGGAGCGTGGAACAAAGACATTACCTTAATAAAGTACTAGTACATCATTTTGGTTACTATTGTTCATGAGCCATGGACAGTATTGGTACAATTCCAGTGATATTAAAATCCTCCCCTAACTTCTGTAGGTAATTCCATTAATCTTACAATTAATTTCTCTCACTTGAAGGTGAGCAGTATTCTGCAGCATCAGTGGATCAGTTCTGCGTCTGAAAATCAAGACACTTGACACAGTCAGTACCATGAGCCAATTTCTTAACTTTGTTGTGCTTCAGTATTTCATTTGCCAAAAAGAAAAAGCCCTAAACCCATCAGATTTTAGTAAGTGAAAAGCTATATGTAAATGCCAACTATTATAATTTACCTGTGCAAGCAACTGCTGAATATCTCTATGAATCACACTGGAAATCAGTTTCCAACTTCTTTTGCTGCCTACCTATATCCTCCCACATTCAGTTTAAATTAGAAAAGTTATTATTCATGTTCCCTTTGTTAGGTGGTATTGCTACTGCATATTTACTTCAACAGTGGGTTTACTTCAACTTAAGAGAAAAGTAATCCCCTTCTGCATTGCCTGCAAAGCAGGTCACCAACGTTTTCGGATGGCAAATGTTGTGTGTGTAAATGTTGTTTATGTGAATACTTTCCCCACAAAACCTCATCCTTCATCCTAATGCAACAAACAAAATTAATCAAAAACCTTCCCTTATGAATCAAGCCTCTTATTCATTAGAAGTGAAACTGTTGAGACAAGCATGGTCAAAAACCCTCTAATGTGGTAGAAAAATCTCCAGAAGAAAAGCTAGCCTCCTTTATGCCAAAGTAATTCTAAAATAGTGTGCTAATTATATGTAATTAATCTACATTATTTTTCACGGTACTGTCTGAAATTGCATTAATCTAAGCAGGACACTTCTGTTATTGTCTCAACAGTGATACGTGGCCCTTAATTGTTATCTGGCAAAGAGTGGCATTTGCCATTTAGACAGTAAAACCACTGGACCCTGCTCTGAAAGCAGTCTTACTGATCCAGCAAGAGGCCACACCACCTTCCTTAAAAGCACGAGGAGAGCAATGAGGTCTGTCACAAGCAGCCTGAAAGACTGTTCTAAAAAAGCAATTATCTGTGTAATTATTCCGCTGCTGGATCAATGCAGGAAGCAGAAGCCACATTAAAATTAAATCACTTGATTCACATTATTTCATACATTGCTCATTATCTAATGCAATGTCAGAACTGAAGACGAACAAAACAAAGGTGTTCCTAAGTTAGTAGGATGCATGTGAAGCTGTGCTGTGCTATAAAACAGTCTCTCTTCTTCTGAAGAATACTTGGGACAGAAGGACTATTCGTAAGGATTAACTTTTATATACAGCTCTCCTCTTCCAAGGGCCTTTACTGTTTTCACTCCTCTGAAACACACCAGCTTGGAGGCGTGGTGTCGCTGTTACAGGTCATCTAGAAGCCAAATAGACACCAGCGGTAGACAGATCCAAAAGTAGCGCAGAGGCACAAACAAGGAGTTTCATTTGCTGAATCAGGTCAGAGAAGCCATGGGTTTTGTCCTTGCCGTGAAGACTGCAGTAGTTCAGCCTCCTATGTGGCCCCACGTGTGGCTGAGGAAGGCTCATCAGTAGCCAGCTCACTCTCCTGCCTGTACTCCCCAAAGCTCCAGAAAAGGAACACTAGCAACATGTTACTTCTAAGGGTTTCTGCAGCTCTGAAATCCCTCTGAACCTCGTAATACAACTCAACGTCTTATGTCCCTGGGCAATCTTGTCTCTAGGCTAGAATGTAATGGATGCAAGTGCCCTGCTAGGAACTGGAAGTAGCCTTAGTGCTCACTGCCATATTAAAGGTGCTGTTTACAGGCCATTTAGGATGTTTGAAAGTGATGTTATATTTATTAAAGTAAGAGGGTAATGCGTATAATATTCCAATCCCCATTCTCTTCTAATGTCAGCAGACGGCATGATTTGCTGAATATTATGTGCTCTGCTGGTAAAAAGTGCAAAGTAAGGGCTGGATTTTTACCTCTTAATCCAATTCTCGCCTAGAGAACCTTCTGTGGAGTTAATGACTTAATATTGAAATTGCAAGAGTTTAATAGTGGCTTTCAATCATATGCCAAGAATTCAGTATTTCCGTAATGACACAAGTTAATCATTTGAACTTGCATCTGTGAGTGCTGTGCAGGAAGGTGAACCAGAAGTTCACATGAATTTGAGAAAACACTAACTGTTAGAAACAACTCCCAGATCTGGTCAAAATATTCTCACTCTTTTCTGCTGATGGCATTAAAGGCCTTCCCCTCTTCCCCCATCTGAAAGAGAGGAACTTCAGGGAAAATTCTTTCTTGAAAAGGAAAACAAATGCCCACTTGCTATTAAACATTGGCACTTTTTTTTGAGTATAGCTCTGCTATGCATTATGACATACAAAAAAAATCACTGTATTGCTAATTCTAAGTTACAGTATGAGCAATTAAGTCATCTCTGCGTGACCTATAAAAAAGACTATGCATAAATGAAGAGCCTGTATGTGAACATTTCCAGCTTCTGAGCTCTTTGAATTTTGCATCCAAATTTTGCGGCCTGGGCTTCTCTCCAAGTTTGACAAATGCTAATTAAAAAAAGAAGAAATTAGTGTGATGCTGTTTCTTTTCACACTGGCTCTCAGCCCGCTCCCTGAATGTCGATGCTGCAGTGTGCCTCCACAAGGCAGCTGCACGTGCATGCGCACATGGTGTGCGCATACTCCTGCCTGTCATTTGGCCAAAACTAGCAGTAGACTTTGGCAGCATAACAACATGCCTGTGAATAGCCTGTCCCAGTTCCCGCAGCGTCACTGCTTTCCACTTTCACGTTGATGAATTAATGTTTTAGGAAATGGCGGCGTGTTTTCTGACAAAGGCTTGAAATAAAACTTGGGAGATGCCTGGCCTATATCACATCAGTGCCTGGGAGCTTAAGTAAACAGAGGATATGAGCACCAGCTTTTCTGCATGAATACTGTTCATAGGTGGGGAGTTTCCACAGGAGGCTCTGAGATTGCAAAAGTTATTTTTGTCTGCCATTTCCTCCTCTCAGTGTATTTCTCCCTTCAGCAAACAGCATTACCAGGGCTTTCTCAGGTATTAGCTAATACTTAGATATTGCTCCAGGGCTTAGTGTTGCTGGAAATGCCTTTTAGCCTCCTAGTAACAGCCCTACCATTTTGCAAACAATTATTCCCAGGTAACACTGGTATGAGCACGGTTGAGAGCTTTTTATTGAGACTAAATAAGAATTTGAATAATACTAGTCTTTCACTTACTGGCTAGTTTCACTCTGTTCTTTTTCATTCCTGGTCTTAAGTAATTAAGAGTGGTTATTTCTCAGTACTCCATCTCAGAAGTGGCTGAGACATGCTAGTCACTCATATGTCTTAGCCACCTGTTGTAAAAATCCACAAAGATGAGTATTTTAAGGTCAGAAGTACAGCATAATTATTTCTAATAATATTCCTCTTGATGACTCACTAATTGCAATTGTTCATTCAAAATATTTTCCTGTTTCTGTGGCTTTCAAAGGATGGCAATACTTCAAATGACACCTGTCATTAATGAGTGATTTAGATCACTTAAAGAATCACCGTCAAAAGTATTAGCAAAAGTGGTTTTAATATGATGTTGTAAAAGTGCGACTTTACAAAGTTTGATGGCAAGGTTCACTCTATTAATTACTGCATGGAAGAAACATACAAAGGAAAATTGAGTTACAGTCGAGTTGGAATGATTCACAGAGAGACTAGGGACACAAAAGGGTAAGCAGAACCCTCCCATTGAGTCACGAGGTTCAGAGTGGACACCCTTGCTTTCTAAACTCCTGATGGGAGTCTAGGTGAGCTAGATCCAAACCTAGTCTCAGACTTGGTCAATGATTTATGTCTAAGGGATTATATATGCAAAATTCATGTAATATTTCATTAGCATCAATTCAGCATGCAATCAAAGTTACCAAGACAAAATCAAAGTTACCATACTACAAGGTTATGCGCGATATCGGTCACTTACCAAAGATCTGCCATTGATAAAGGCTCTCTCTGCCTCGAGGAGCAACCTTGAGAGATGTCCCAGCTCAAGGAGAGATCACCACCATGCAGCCACACTGCCTCG